ACTGGCCCAAGTTGGCACCATCATTGTGCTCTTCCCGGGCGAGGCAGATCAGTCGCCGGCTTCTGGACGGCCACTCACTGCGGCTGCTGGCCGCTCATGCTGGCTGCTGGCTACACACGGTAGCCCATGGCAACCCACTGCCACAGGGGCTGCAGCCTACCTGTTGCCGGCGACTCATGGCAGCCCAGCTCCAAGTTGAGCTGTTGTTCATCATCTTAGCTGTAGAGGGCAGTGTCACTGGCCCTCATATGTGGGATCTGAACCAGGGCTCTGCTGCTCAAAGCTGGCATCCCAAGCCAGTTCTTAACCATCGCGCCACTCGGCCGGCCCTGGATAGCAGTTTTGTGTCCTAAAAATTCCTTGCTAAAACCAAGAATACAAAGATGTTCTTAATTTTTTCTAGAACTTCTATAGCTTTAAGATTTACATTTAGTTATATAATATGGTTTGAGGTAATTTTTGTATCTAGGGTGAGGTAAGGGTCAAGGTTCCATTTTTTATATAGATGTCCAAATTATCCAGCACCATATGTTGAAAAAGCTAGTTTTGCCCTCTTTTAATTACCTTGGCACCTTTCTCTCCTCTCCTTCTGGTATTATAATTACATGCATATTAGGCTGTTTGATATTTTTCTACAGCTGTTGGATACTTTTAAAAATTTCTCCTTTCTCTTTGGATAATTTCTATAGGCCTACCTTTAAGTTGACTGATTATTTGCTTTAACTGTGTCCTGTCTCCTCATTAGCCTATCAAAGGAATTCTTTGCTTCTGATTATTTCTAGAATTTCTGTTGGGTTCTTTCTCAGAGTTTCCATGTCTCTATTCAAATTCTCCATCTTTTCCTAAAGTTTATTCTTCTTTTCCACGTGAGTCTTTTACAAATTAATCATAGCTATTTTAAAGTCTCTGAGTGTTCCAATATCTGAGTCATCTCTGGCTTGTTCTGTTGGTTACTTTCTTTATCTTAACAGTAGGCTATTTTTCTCTGGTTTTATGAATATCTCATAACTTTGATTTGATGTTAGACATTGTTAATAAAAGAGCCATAGATAATGAAGTAAATGATACTGCTACCCAGAAATGGACACACTTCTTTTTTAAGTCTGTTGATGTGAGAGGGGTTGAATCAATTTTGTTAGTTACCTTGAGCCCACCAGACTGCAAAGTTCTCCAGTGGTGGCCTGTAGTTACTGTATGCATAATGTGACTTGGTGTGGGCCTCAGGGCTTTTCTCATTGTGCAAAACCCATCCTCAGCTTTCAGGAGACCTTCCACACTTGCTCCACTGAGGCGATCTCTCTCCATGTTTGTGCTCCTTTCCTAGCAGTAGACTGCTCTTGTTCATTGCTCAGTGTAAAGCTGTGGCTGTGATGGTAGGATTCTCAGCTCTCCTGATCCAGCCTCCATCGTGGGCAGGCCTTGTGGGTCTGGGCCTTAGGACCAAGGCTTTGTCTGTGTTCTTGCTCCTCTTCATGGCAGCCAGTCTCTGCCTTATATCTGTGGGTGTCTTGCGTGGGAAAGTTTCCTACTCTTCCCTCAACAGTAGCAGAGCTCTTCTTTGAGTCACTGCAGGATTCTGGAACTGAAAGTTTCTTGTCCTCCCATCAGGACAGATGGCTTTTATTTCTTCTCTTCCCATGAATCAGTGGATCTCTGCTTGGACCTTGGCAGTGTAAGGTTTTCTGCTCTTCTCCCAGTGGTTTAAAGCTTTTGTTTCATGTGAAACAGTATTCTGGGTAGTGGATGAGAGTTTCTTGCCTCTGCTCCACTATAGGGAACACTCTTCAGTTTTGACCCTGCCCTTCATCCTTCTTACAAGCA